GAAACTGACGAGGAATCTTATATTGATCCTAGCCAAAACCATCCTGGCCATAAACGGAAATTAGGTCCGTCACCCTCAAAGGATGATTATGGTGGTGATACCGAGAATAGGTTTTCATTAATGTCAAAACGTTTCAAACCGTCTGACTCTGTCGTTGACAAAAATGTTGATGTAGTACTGGCTAATAATGTAAATGAACTTTTCAAAAATGGTATGAGTGAGGACCAGTACAATGCTCTAACTAAGGATGAAGTTACAGCCCGTCCGAAAAATTGTGATGGTTTGGTACTGGTAAAAACAAACCAATTAGTATGGGACATTATGACACCAGAATCGAGGAGTTCTGATCGGAAAATGCAGGCCATTGAAAGTTCGGTTATCAAGTCTGCCATCATATTGAGTAAAGCAGTAGATTCTCTTGCAGATCTAGCCGATACTTCTAACTTGCCGAGTACAGCCATACCAGATATTATAGATAAACTGAACGACAGTTTAGCCCTTTTGGGTCACTCAAACCGTCAAATCAACCTTACTAGAAGGGACTTCATAAAGGCTGATCTACGCCCAGAATTTTCGCACTTGTGTGCACAGTCACAGCCTTTCACCACTTTTTTATTTGGAGATGATGTGCCTAAGTTAGCCAAAGAAATAGCCGACTGCAGTCGCATTGGCCAGAAATTACAGAACTATCCCCAAAGAAGTTCATTTTCAAGAGGTAGACCCTGGAGAGGTAGATCTAGAGGGCGATATGGAAGAGGCAGAGGTCGTGCCATGTATCCACAAGCACAAGCTAATGTCAAGTACTCTACAAAAAACTACAGGCGGGGCAGTATGCCCCAGAATCTGAGAAGCAAAAGTCAATAGACTCAACTAATAAGGTGAGTTTCTCGGCAGGGCGCTTGAAATATTTTTCCTCGGCATGGAAGGAAATAACTTCTGACCCTCATGTTCTAGATATAGTAAAACACTGTCACATTGAATTTATAGATGGGATCTCTCCAAATCAACATAACTTTAAATTTGAACCTAAATTTAACACTCGAGAGAGTGAAGCTATTGAATCAGAAATTTCTAATATGGTCAAAACTAAGGTTCTTATTGAGGTAACCCCTCAGTCAAATCAATTTCTTTCGCCAATTTTTGTAAGGCCTAAGAAAGATGGAGAGTTTCGCATGATTTTGAACTTAAAGAAACTCAATGAGTTTGTACCTTATCGCCATTTTAAAATGGATACATTCGAATCTACCCTTAACTTGGTCTCAAAAGATTGTTATATGAGCACGATTGACATCCGACACGCATACTATTCTGTCAGTATAGCTGAGGAAGATCAGAGATATTTTCGTTTCCTATGGGGGGGGGAAAATATTTCAGTATACATGCTTGCCAAATGGTTATTCTCTGGCGCCCCTACTATTTACTAAGCTTATGAAACCAGTTTATTCGTCGCTTAGAAACGCAGGCATTCTGTGCTCAGGATATATTGACGATAGTCTTTTGTTAGCAGAATCTGAAAATGAATGTAACCACAGTGTACAGACCACTGTTAATTTGGTAGAAAAGTTAGGTTTTATGGTTCATCCAAACAAGAGTGTTTTTCAACCATCAAAACAAGTTACGTTTCTAGGTAATGTGATTGATTCTAGTAGTATGACTGTTTTTCTTCCAGAGAACAAGAAAGCTTACATTGCAGATGAGTGTTTACGAATTTCAAAGAAAGTTAAAGTTACTATTTGTGATTTGGCTCATGTTATTGGTCTTATCATATCAAGTTTTTCGGCCGTAGAATACGGGCCATTATTTTATCGAATTTTGGAGTCGAGTAAGGTACAGGCTCTAAGGGAAAAGCAAGGTAACTTTGATAATTTTGTTCTTATCACACATGATATGCAGTCTGAACTTGCTTGGTGGTATACAAATATACATAGTCAGATACGCCATATCTCGCATGGAAATCCAAATATCACAATAACAACAGACTCTTCCCTCCAAGGATGGGGAGCTGTTTTGGAATCTGTTGCTAAAACAGGGGGACAATGGACATGTTCAGAGAAACAGAATCATATCAATTATCTAGAAATGTTGGCTGTTTTATTTGCCCTAAAATCGTTTAAAACTCATTTGCAGCCGTTTATGCATGTGAAGATCTTGTGTGATAACACAACAGCAGTCAGCTATATCAACAATATGGGTGGCATGAAGTCTGCATCTTGTAACTTGGCAGCTAGGAAAATATGGTTTTGGTGTATAGACCATAATTTGTGGATTTCTGCCTCTCATATTGCAGGAAAATCAAACACTGATGCTGATCTCTGCTCAAGGGTTTTCAATGACCGCACTGAATGGAAATTGAAGCCATCAATATTTCAATCTATATGTCAAAAATTTGGCACTCCAACAATTGATCTCTTTGCTTCAAGGCTCAATAAACAAGTGTCTTGTTTTGCATCTTGGAGTCCAGACCCAGAATCTTTATTCGTGGATTCATTTACAGTTGATTGGAATCAATTTGAGTGTGTATATATTTTTCCTCCTTTCAGCCTATTGGGACGCTGTATCAAGAAGATACGAGAGGACAAAGCTACAGGCATAGTTATTGCCCCTCTATGGCCAACCCAAGTTTGGTTTGTCCATCTAATGGAACTACTTATTCATCCACCTCTACTGATTCCGAAAATGAAAGACTTGCTGACATTGACACACAAACAGAATCAGAGCCATCCTCTTCGACGAAAGTTGGTATTGATCGCTTGCCATGTCTCCGGAAATCATATAAAGAACAAGGTCTTTCTGAACAGTCTACAAGAATTCTCCTGGCTTCCTGGAAAACTGGGACTAAAAAACAATATTCCGTGTTCATTAAGAGATGGATACAATACTGTGGTAAAAAGAAGATTAGTATCATTCAATCATCTATAGCAGATGTTACAAGTTTTCTCACAGAACTTTTTGAAACTGGGTTAAGTTATAGCTCCCTAAACACAGCAAGGTCCGCATTATCAGCGATGGGAATCATTATTCAAGGACATTCTGTTGGAACTCATCCAGTTATATCAAAATTTATGAGGGGTGTGTTTAATTTGAGACCCTCGAAACCGCGACATATGGTGACATGGGATGTAGGTAAAGTTTTGCTTTACTTGAAGAAGCTTTCGCCAGTGAAGGACTTGAGTTTGAAAGACTTAACTCTGAAACTTACAATGCTAATTGCACTGACAAATGTGTTACGAGTACATGCTATTCATCTTTTATCTATAAAGAATATGGTTAAAACTAAATGTGAATTTTCTTTTGAACTCAGTGGTTTACAAAAACAGAGCAGACCATGTGCTAGTGTTAAATGTGTGTCAATGAAAGCTTACCCTCCAGATAGGAGGTTGTGTGTATATACTGCCATGAAAGAATATTTACAAAGAACAGTAGATATTCGTAAAAACGAGTTTTCATTAATTTTGAGCTTTATTAAACCCCATAAAAAAGTGTCCCGGGACACAGTGTCTAGATGGATTAAAACTGTGATGGAACGTTCTGATATAGACACCAATGTTTATGGTTCACATACAGTGAGGTCAGCCGTATGTTCTAAGGCTCATAAAAACTCTGTTCCTATTCAGGATATTCTGCATGCTGGTGGCTGGAGCAATGCAGGAACTTTTTTCAAATTTTATAAGAAGGATATAATATCTACTGCAAATTCTAGATTTGTGGATACAGTACTCAAAGAATAAACTAAAATTGCCAATCTTATTGTTTCTTTGTTACTATATGTATGTAATATGCCAAATATAAAGATTTCACCAGCTTTGAAGTCTCATTTATGACCGGAAGTGATATGACGAAATATAATTTGAAAAATTGACGAGACTTACCTTGGTACAGTTGAAGTCAATTTTAAATTATGTGAGTCATAGGACTCACTGTAGGGATTAAATGCCTCCCGCCCATCCCTACAATTTTGCCAGCTTGTGTAAGCTGTGCACATACAAGTTTATTTCATGATAAAATGGAATCCGAATCTACTAAAAAAAAAAAAAAAAAAAAAAAAAAAAAAATAATTTGTTCAATCTTATATATTTTTGTTACTTTAAAGACTGACAATCTGCGGCACGTGCTACACTCTCATTTAATCCCTACAGTGAGTCCTATGACTCACATAATTTAAAATTGACTTCAACTGTACCAAGGTAAGTCTCGTCAATTTTTCAAATTAAATAAGTATTCTAAAACGAACTAAAGATATCATAAATGAGGATGCCTGAGCAATGGATTCACAAAAAAAAATCTTTCTCCTTGTTTTTTGATATTGGCGGATGTCGACTCGTTTTTCGATATTCAACGAACCGAGATTTTATGGTCACTTAATTAAACTGCTTCCCAGCGTCTATATGAACATAGTCCCCGAATGCTATTTAACTTCACTAGTACTTATAATACAGTTTATTATTATAACAGTTCAACGATAAGAGCTACAATTTTACAACTTCACAAAGTTACAGTTTACTAGCCTACGTACAGTGGCATGTCAAAACGTGGTCAACAATTTGGGTTTAAATACAAAAGTTACCGTAACACTACATTTTACATGAACACAATGTCATCTCTCCTATTCTAACAGGATGGCTAACCGCCGAAAACTACTGTATACCGGTACTATACACAATATCGAAAAAACATAAAGGCTAGACTGTCTGGAACACGCGCCATATTGGCTACCCGGAACGCTCTCTTCTCTTCGCGCCAAAAAACATCACGTGACTCATTATTATTCATCGTACCCTTATGATTGCTTCATCTAGCAACTCGAGTTTGCAACTGAAATTAAATCAGTTACTAGGCACGGGTCTCACACGTAGTGTTGATAATTGTTGTACAGTGATGACAATATTCATTTGAAAGTACCGTAAATTCATTAGCCATGTGAACGCCTCAAATTTGAAATGCTGTTTTTGCTATGAACACGATATAATATTAGTAGTCCCCATTTCACCTTTTTTTTTTAGTTTACTGAATGATTATCTAAGATGTGCAGGCCATCTGAGGAACTGTTCCAATTTTACATCTGCTATGGAACAAGCTAAATCTTATGTACAAAATTTATGCGGACAAGGTAAGTAACCTTTTCTTTTTAATAAATTGTTTGATCTCATGTTACACCCATATCCCCTCCATCCGTCCACCCTCTCCATAAACGCCATGGCAATGGCAACATCAACACTATTGATGGTTTTATTTTTATTTTAGTTATGGATCCATGTATGAATAATCCATGTAGTAATGGTGGTTCCTGTTTTAATGATATGAATTCAACCAGAGGTTATACATGTCAGTGTTACGAGGGACGATACGGTGATAACTGTCAAGGTCAGTATTTAGTTGTTCGGAATGACACCAGTCTCAAAGTAATGGGAAAACATAGAAATCCTATTTGACACTACACAGTTTGTTTTGATTTATCATAATAATGAAAAGATTAGTATTGTTCATTAAAAGACCTGGTCTTTCCATTCCACGAACTAGTACTGTTATAAATAAAACACACTTATATGGATATACTACTTCTGAATTTATTAACATGCTACGTTTCGATACACATACAGATATCGTTTTCAAGCAAATAATAGTACTGTTATGTGGTCCAATTCGTGAAGAAGATTTGGTTAGTTGTTCATCAATATTAACTGAGAATTGTTTATTTATAAAGGAACATTGTAGTGAATAATATGGTGTGTTATTTCAGCACGTCTTTGTGACTATTTTACCTCTGATCCATGTGGTCCGTATGGAAAATGTTTGGGTCTCATAGAAACGGGTGATATGTGTACCTGTCCCTTAAAACGTGAAGGTATATTCTGTGAAGTTAATGATTATGGTAAGCTTGACTGATATTTATTATATTATTACATTGTTATCACTATCTTTATGATATGTATGCTAATAATGGGAATATTGATACTATAAAATATTAATAAATGACAATAATTTTTTTTTTGTTTTAACTAATATATAAATCGAGATAGCCAAAACTTAATTGGATTTGGCAGCATGGATTTCCCTTTGTCAGTTGTGCAGTAAGAAGCTCCTGGCAAAGACCAGCATCTTCAGATTTGACACAAAACAGAATTCCCATGTGCACAGTTGAAATTCGATTGAAAAACACATCATGTGTGATGACTTTCGTATTATTATTTTATAACCTTTGTATTTTCCAGAATCAGTGTATGGTGAATGTCCTAAGAGAAGAAGATTGATCAAATATATCATGGAAATATTAGGCGGTAAAACTCCTACACCATATCAACTCAATACGTCTGTTTCTCATATTTTACGTGATATTAATGTAAGTTGGTTACAGATGCCGAATTGTACAGACCGGGGAACATACTCACCTATCATGATGGAGTTTAACGTATTTAATCTAACACAGAAGATATATTATTGCGTTGACCCATATGGAGACCGACTGAAATATTCATACGAGTCTACACAACAACCAAATTGTTCAGGTTAGATTTTGTGCCAGTTCGTTCTTTCAGTTAAGAAAAGGTTGATATATTGGTCTTAACTGGATGCAAGATTCGGTGAACTGCTGCAATCAGCTAACCTGTTGAAAAGATATACTGTATGACCATGCATAAGATACACCTTACAGTCTCTTACAAAATACAATTTCTCTAAGTTTTACCATTGGTGGCTGAGTGCATTGTCGAATAGTTTAAACCATCCACGTTTGATGGTTTAACAGAATTATGTTCAGTGGCAGATGTTCAAAACAATGGTTAATGTTCTTTAACTTGTTACAATTTCAGCTGTAGTGAATGGGTTATGTAACTCCAACCCATGCCGTAATGAAGGTGTGTGCCACATGTCTTACGACTACAACAACGAATCGTACTGGTGTGAATGCAAACCTGGTTTTTATGGTTCTACATGTGAAGGTAAATATGTTACAGATTTGAACTTTGACCTCTGAATATAAAAGTACAATTGTCAAATATATGTAATTTGAAAGTGGTATCAGGTGTTCTAGAAAGCAATATGAAATCATTTACTACTGCTTGCCACCCATTGCTTCTTATAGTTAAATGTAAAGTTACTTGAAAGCTGCCTTGTATTAAGTTCAGTTGACATGTTATATTTTATGTTGCAGTGTCCGTCTGTGCTGGGTTAGAAATTAATCCGTGTAGTTCGAAAGGAGGTTTATGTCTAGGAGATCTGGAAACTGGAAAATTCTGCAACTGTCCTGCTGGAATAACCGGACCCTTCTGTGACCGATCTGGAAATGGTTTGTTGTTTCAATTCGCTCTAATACTGGACAGATAATAACTCCCACAGATTGACTTTAATTCCAGGATTGAATACAGGACTGTATGTTTAATTTGACTGGTGTGAGTAAGAAAAGCTGTTGACCCTCTCCCGTGACGTGTTATTCGGGGTGGGCTGGCAAACCAGATAGACAGGACAACGGTCAATCAAATCACGGGATAACACTTGAAATAATAACACTTTGTAATGTTAATGAATATAATATGTCTTTTTTACAAAACACTCCTGGAGGAAAACTAGCGGTTGGTTTTAACAATAACGGACTATTAGGAGTAATCACATCATAATCACTTGGGTCCTCAGATACTCCAGTTAAAGGTTGACAATTGATTCAACTTCACAAAGAAAAGTTCTCAACTGATCATCACTTTTACAAGTTTTAATAAACTATTCGTTCAAAATGGCATTCAATATATTTCGTATAGTGCGAATTTGTCTTTCCCATGATGTCAAGCAGCTGTGGGATTACAACACCGCTTAAAGTTGTGCTTCAAAGAAAATGTCTGCATTTCTTCTTGATCTAATTCCTGTAATGAAACTTTAAGTTCTGTATTAGCTCCTACCAAATGAGTTCCATTGTCGGAGTATATTTCTTTGCAAGATCCACGTCGCATTCAATATCTTACAATGCCACTTAAAGTTGTGTTTCAAAGAAAATTTCTGCATTTCTTCTTGATCTAATTCCTGTAATGAAGCGTTAAGTTCTGTATTAGCTCCTACCAAATGTGTTTCATTGCCTGAGTATATTTCTTTACACGATCCACGTCTCACCATGAAACGCCAAAGAGCACTAAATACATGCGCTTGTAATTGTGTCCATAGAGTCTGTCACTTCAATGTGAATAACACGCGAGGAAAAACATGCCACCACAACTTCATATCTCTTTCGTGTAACTCGCCCTACTTTCACTTCAAATTGACCATTTTTTGTTCACCTACACGAGATTGTAGTTTTCTACATATGACACATTTTTTCACATGACTTTAATTAATCCAACAATTCAGTCTCAATTCGGCCAAGGTATGATTTCTGCCCTGGTGACATACCTTTTGATGACAATATTTCACTATCAAGTTTGATACATGGTTCACTCTGGGAAGTATTAACTGAAGTTTCGCGTTATATGGTATACTGACATTCTGCATTAACTAGATTTTATCAAGTCTGTCTTTATCACGATTTTAGATTTCAGTATTAATATTTTACGAAATCTTAACCACAAGGCAATCGCACGTTTAAGACGAACCCAGTCTGAATAATGTTCTAAGAGAGTCATCACTGACAACATTCACATTTGTAACATTAACAGTCTGATTCTGCTACTGGATAACTGGGCCACTCACTGCTGGGTTTACGTAGGAATTCTAGACTATACAACCACTCAGCGTTCATCACGTCACTTGCGGATAAACCACGAAATAAATAATTCTTCTCAACTAAATTGTTCATAAAACCTAAATAATTTTTATTCAGCACTGTATCACTAAGCAAACGTTTTCTTAACTTATATGCAACAACTCGGCCTTTAATTTATTATTTGACTTATTCACTGTTCGATCACTGAAAGGCAATTCTGTTTCATAATGGTTATGAAATATCTACGAATTTGGTCTTCTAAATTATTATCTACAGCACATAAATTAACACTGACTTTAGACTTATAGAATGGACAAAAAACAGACATTCGTGGGTAAAAGGTCAAATGAGGTCATTTATACTGAAAGTGAATACGCAGCCATTCTTGTATTAGGAGAACATGCTGAAAATGATCGAAACTAATCACTAAACACAAGGAACTGTGGGTAAACCACTAAAAACGTCAACGCTGATTGATTAATCCGTGTCTGACGTCATAGGATCAAAAGCCGCTCGTAAGACCCCTGACGCGACCTCTCACTACAACTGGTCAGATCTTCATGTAGTGTAGGCCATCGAAAGCATAAAAAACGCAACGAAATATAGATCTGTATTTTAAACAGGTTGAGACCTGTTAGGCAAGATCTTTTTCGACATTCCAAAGTAAACGTACGGTGCGCGCTAAGACCCCCTAAAGATGAATTTCAAATGTTCCTATTATTAGAGCAGGTTTCTCTTTCATTTTTAAATTTTACACCGACGTGTATTGTGTTAAATCTTCCTAGTGCAAAAACGGAAAATTTGACCTTTTCACCTCCGTGATCATAAAGAAGAAAGGTGAATTTAGCAAGTTTACATTTTTATTGAAAGAGTGACCAGTTTCGATCATTTTCAGCATGATACAAGAATTGCTTAATGTACGTATTCACGTTTAGTGTATATGACCTCATTTGACCTTTGATCGCGAATATCTCGAAAACGCCCCAACGGCGGACGTATTACCACTTGGCATCGTATTCTATGGTCTATTAGAGGGATTATTTGATTTTCCGGGTATACAAACATCATATAGGCGACTTAATTGCAACAATTTTTTCTGTTATGATTTCAAGGGGCGTAGTAGGCTGGAACATGTTTGGATTTTAATGTCCTTTAGATGATACCATTTATTTCCGAAATTTCCCCATTTCTCGGGTGTGAATCCAAATGTAGAAGATGATATAAAGGGTCCAAAAAGGTCCGCGATCTTTGAAAAAAGTCGAAAAATCGTTAAATTACCGAAAGTGCTCTTCCATTTTTGGTCTTTTTTTAAAACTTTCCTATGGATCTTTCTGAAACTTGTGGTATCAAGACCAGTTGTTAAAACTATTCTGTAACACAAGGTACAATTTTATGGATACACAATTACTGAGTTTGATACTAAGCGACGTTTCGACGAGGATATTCTCGTGTTTATCAAGCAAATGATACAGATATGTGAAGTGTTGGCAAATATATATACAGAATATGCAACAAAGATAATAATCAAATGCAATTAGGAACTAAACCTACACAACAGAAATCTCTTACAGGGATGAAAAGGTGAATGCTATATTTATAAAGATCAGTGAATTAACACTGTTAATGGAAAACCAATTAACCTGAGCTATAGATAAACAATAATATAAATAGAAGTGTGTATGTATAAGTGAACAAGAGTGGTCGCGGATGCAGGTGTAAAGAAAAATAATAATAAATTAAAAAATTCAAAATTAAATTATAAAAATATAAATACTGTATATTAAGTCTGCTTCTGATGAGTACCTCACAAAAACAGTTGTTAACCTAATTTCAACTAATCTCACCGATGATCAAATCACTCTATTATCCAAAGGCCTAAAATTCATTCCTGTATCTAGACTGAAGAATCATGACGATTACATCACAAATATAGAAAAGGGGTTGCGTCAACTAGCACCAGGTGGCAAGGTGGATTATCTCAGGCATCAGATCTCGAATATACTTTTGAAAACCAAACCTCAAACCAATAACCTATCCAAATCCCAACAGCTAGCTCTAAAAGAATTTAAAGCAGACTCCAATATCACCATCATCCCTGCTGACAAAGGTAAAGCTACTGTGATTATGGACACCAATGACTATGTAGATACTGTGAACAACCTACTTCAAGACACCAAAACCTACCAAAAAATCAGGAAAGATCCCACAGCCACCGATGAAACCAAGCTGCGAAAATTTCCTACATCATTGAAAGACAAAAAGCAGATCACACTAGCACTTTACTATAATCCGAATCCCTCCCACCCCAGACCACCATATGCACGAGCCACCATCAAGATTCACAAGAACCCGGTTAAGGCTCGCTTATTGGTTTGTTCCCGAGACTCCGTATATTACAATACATCAAAATTCTTAACCCGTCTTTTGGCACCACTTGGAAAATCAGCAGAGTCCTTCATTGCCGACACCAGCGACTTTTGCCAAAAACTGGCACCCGTCCCATCAACCGGCACCATTATTTCATATGATGTAGTAGACCTGTTCACTAATATCCCCACAGCCCAGACACTCCAAATACTTAAAAAGAAAATTAATGAATTAGAGACCCCTCTGCTTCGTTTATTAAGCTTTCGGACTTTCGTCTGAAAAACTATTGTTATTACTAAAATTATTATTATTATTGTGATTACTAAGATTATTGTTGTTAGGCTTTCAGTTACTATTGTAGTTACTATTACTATTGCAGTTATTGTCATTACTAAGATTAATATTATTTATTATTATTCTTTACCGCCAAGGCCTATATCTCGAAGACTATAAAAGATATCGATAAGGGGTTTCAATTTTTGATGGAAAACCACGTGACTCCTACCTGGAATGGAAGTTCCCGAATGTTCGAAAACCGGAATTTGGCTGTGGTTTCTAAAGTTCTTTATCTATTCTAAAAATAATTAAAATAAAAATAAAAGATAGCAGTTGAACATTTCGAAATTTTGAAACTCCGTCGTTGAGTTCTATCGTTCGAAAATTGATAATACGTTGTTTACGAGACAATTTTTTTATTTTTCAAAATTTTGAAATTTGATCTACATATTTGGATATCTGAAGTCCATCCGATTCCAGTCATATAAGTTTCATTAAGAGTTATCGCTCTTTCGGGGATCTAGGGTGGGAATCCAAATGTAAAAGCCTCGAATGATATAAGGGGTCCAAAAAGGGCCTCAATCTTTGAAAAAAGTCGAAAAATCGTTAAATTACTGAAAATGCTCTTCTAATTTTCTGTGGTTTTTTTTTATTTAAAATGCCCAATTAATGTTTCTGAAAGTTAAGTATCAAGACCACTTGCTATATGTATCCCGACAATGATATGAAATCCGGGAGTAGTCGAAAAAATATTCGATATTTTGAAATCCAACGTCAAAAATGGGTACTTTTGCGAAAAACGCGATTTCTCCGTCGGATGTAACCGGATCAAAAGAATTAAATTGGCTATCTTAGACACTCTTCCTGTCTGATTCCTGAAAGACGGCTCAGTGCTGCTTGCGGGTCTGAAAGACTATGTTATTACTAAAATTATTATGATTAGTAAAATTAGTATTATTATTTTGTTACCGCGGGAGCCTATTTCTCAGTGTCTGTAACAGATACCGATATGGTACCTAATTTTCGACCAGGAAACCATGTGGTGGTTACTTGATAAACTATTTTTGAAACTTTTGCGTAGACCGGAAGTGGCCGAAAAGACCAAAGTCAAAAATTGGCCGTAGGTTCGTCAGTTCTTCACCTATTTTGAAACAAATGACATTTGCGAAACCATGAGACTTTTCCAAGAAGATAACAGTTGAATATTTTGAAATTTCGAAACTTCGTCGCTGTCATTTTACGTCCGAAAATTAAAAAAAAATTGTTTAAGAGACAATTTTTTTTCTTCTCAAAATTGTCAAGTTTGACCTACATTTGAATATTGGAAGTCAATCCAATTCCACAATATTAGTTTCATTCAGAGTTATCGCCATTTATTTTTCCAATTTTTTCCCCCATTTTCTAACCCTTAATTTTTTACGACCAAATCGATGTTTTTGAAACTTCTTTAACATGAAGGTATATGCCCAAACCTTTAGGTAAAGCTATCCCGACAATGGTTTGTAAAGAGGAATTAGTCGAAATAATGTCCGATATTTAGAAAAAAAAAACGCAAAAAGTTGATACCGTTTTGATGATCAGTTCGAAAAATATGGCACGCTGACCTACAATTTTTCTTAAACCGTCTCTACGGAGAGTCCCGTCGGCAGTCTTTTGCATGAAACCACCCAATAAGACATTGAAATAATTGGAATCGGACAAAAAAGGGACTGAAAATCAAAAAGTCGAAAAATCGTGTGTAAATGGATTAACTCCAAAATACTTCTCCGACCTTGTGCAAATACACGTTCCCTCGCGTAAACTCCGCTAAAATTATTCGGATACAGATCGTTCTAAGTGAATGCGCCTAAACAGTGGAAGTATCCACCGGAAATCATTAAATCATCTCAAACTCTTTCTTGTTTTAAATCAAGACTTAAAACCCATCATTTTGAGAAATGTTATCAGGATTAATCAAATTAATTAAATTATATGCGCTGTGAGCATGCCTCTGTGCATGGAGTACTAGCGCTATATAAATGTACATATTATTATTATTATTATTTATATTGTTCCAAATCCAAGCCTCAGAGACATAGCCACGCCCATGTTTTGTATTTATTATCTGAATGGATCATCTTGGAACTTTGCATATCTATTCCTTATACCGTAAAGACAGCAACTATTTATTTTCGTGCATGCCTCGACCCCCTGAGGCGGTGTCACACCCACTTTTTTTGTTAATATTTAGTCTCTAAATTTGGCAAAACAAACTCAACGCATAGCCTTCTTTATCATATAGCAGTCATTGCAGTTATTTCCTATTTCATTCTGTTCATTTTAAAAAGTACCATATCAATCAAAGCAGGAATGTGGACGTATATTGCAGCGTTAGCGATGCTCTAGTTTTACATGGCGATATATTCATTACTAGAATTTTCATACCGGTTGTAACCAAAATATAGAAACATCGCCCATCCCTTGGTATATATATATAGTCAGATTACATCAAAAGGATTTCTTTTGATGTTTGGTGAGAATATGTGTACAGAGCCTTGTTAATTCCTTAGTATATATACCAGAAGGTTAATATATCAATTTTAAAAATATAAGGGCGGAAAGGTGTTCTTTAGATAGTAACCAAATCTAAATTCAATGGATATCAAGTTATTCTTTTCTAGCGTACTGATGTTCAAAGACAGAAATCAAGAGACTGATTCTAACAAAGTTTGAACCATTATTTCCGTTAGTGAATTTTTTTTAATGCGTATGGATTGAAGGCTTATATTTGCTTTTTTAGTGTAGAAGGATATTGTGCCTGTCTTACAGGTTTTATTGTGCTTATCATTTTTTTCCCATCTACTGTTAAAACAAAAGAATACAACATCTTATGACATACACAACTGTTCATTTAATTTGGGTTCTTTTCTATCTATTTTCAGATAGTCTTTTGACAACATGTCAAAGACTGCACGAGTTGTCAGTGGTTGCAGAACAGTATTTAAATGGATCTCTAACAATCTCATTCTTCAATGTTGGTCAAATGATTAGAGATATGGCCAGCAACATCAACATGAAGACCATGTGGCGACCATCTTGTTCCGGAACTGGGAAACCATTGAATGTTGGGTGTACCGTGGACATACTAAACACTACGAGAAAACTATGCTATTGTACGGATGGACATTATCAGCCGCTCCCCGATGCCCGACCTTCCTATGATGGACTGCCCAACTGTTCACGTTCTAACAGTCCCAACATTACTACTGGTAATATTTTATATTTCAAACTATGGCACATTCTGGCTTCTACCATAAAAAAAACCCACACAGCCAGAAAAGGCTATCTGGAATGCCCAATAGCTGACTAATTTTACTAACATATTGCATGGGGAGCGGACCGTATGGGGGTGGGGAGCATATTTTCCTATGCTACTTTCAAAAATCCTGCACATGTCATTAATGGGTGTGTGTGTGTGTGAGGGGGGGGGGTGATCATCTTGAAACTTTACATTTACATTTCATATTTCATTCTCTTCATTTTAAAAAGTACCATATCAATCAAAGCAGGAATGTGGACGTATATTGCAGCGTTAGCGATGCTCTTGTTATAGTCTCAGATCATTTTGGTCATTAATATAATGCCCTTGGTGTATGTTTATCAGACCTTATATTTTTGTAATTAAACCACTTGTTTTGATGACACTTTGGTTATCTTCTACGCAGGAGCTCCTACTGTAGATTTTGAGGTCTGCTCTCTCTGAAAATTATGGGATCAATTCCATGTTTAAGTTAGCATCTGACTAGGAGTAGGATTGCTCGCCAAACATTGTGGGTTTTCTCTGGGTACTCTAGTTTCCTCTAGGCCCTATACACTTGCTTGCAAGTGAATTATATGGAAAAACATATACCATGTTAATCCCAATATGACTTAGTTATTGGTAACACTCTTGGCTTCCTGTATCTGCTTGTCAAGATGCGTCTCAGTCTTCATCCATGTGGAGTATTGTATTGGGTTTCTCTCATCCAAAGCATTATCGTAGTCAGTCTCTACATGTTTTATAATTTATTTCAGATATGAAACCAGGAATGTGTCCACGAGTAGCCCCTGGAACTTTTGGTATAGGAATACAAGAATGTAATAACGATCATGATTGTGGAGATAATTTAAAATGTTGTTCTAATGGATTCGGTTATCAATGTCTTCGTCCTGTGAACCAATCACATACAAGTAAGTATTTACATGACAGTGTTGCCAAGATATGCTTAAAAAGCATTAGCTTCTATACCTCTGTTACGTGGATGATACAAAAATTGTTGACAGCTGGACTCCACAGATTGAGATTCATTTAATAGAATCCCACCGTGTACAAAAAATAAAAAGATATTAAATCATAGATGACCAATAATATGCTCAAACTAAATGATGACAAAACAGAGTTTATGGTTATTGGGACCAATTCAACTTCAGACAGCTTTCAAATAAATCTACATTTACCATCCAAATTGTTGATTCTCAAATATATAGTTTTGACTCGGTTAAGGATCTTGGTGTCCATTTTGATTCTGAGCTTAGTACGGAAAACCATGTCAATCAGCTACATACCATCTGCTACTTCCATTGCAGGTCAATCCGCCAAATTCAACATGTAATTACAAAGGATGCTGCTCATACAGATTAATCATTAGTTTCCACTAGAGGTTTATTTCAGTCTCTACTCATCTGAATATTTATCTTAGTCTTCACTCATCTGGAGATTTATGTTAGACACATCTAGAGATTTTTCTCAGTTCCAACTCATCTGGAGATTTATCTTAGTCTGAATTTTCAGCTCATCTGGAGATTTGGTTTATCTGAGTCTGAACACATTTATAGATTTATCTTAGTCTCAACTTCCATTGCAGTCAATCCGACAAATTCAACATATAATTACAAAGGATGCTGCTCATACTGTCTAATCATTAGTTTCCACTAGAGGTTTATTTCAGTCTCCATTCATCTAGAGATTTATCTTAGTCTTCACTCATCTGGAAATTTATTTTAGACGCATCTAGAGATTTTTCTCAGTTCCCACTCATCAGGAGATTTATCTTAATCTGAATTCTCAACTCATCTGGAGATTTGATTTATCGGAGTCTGAACTCATTTAGAGATTTATCTTAGTCTCAACTAGGGATGCTATTTCAAAATTTTGCACATTGTACATTTTTATTTGGGTCAACATAGTCCAGAATTAGGTCACCAGAAGTTGTTGTCCGCTTCAGGAAACAAGGTCAATAAGCTTATATTCCCTTTAATGGACGTCAGCTAGAAATATGTATATTTGGTAGCATATCCTGTTCTGAATAATGTTTATTAGTACAAAAAATTAGGTGGTCCTCGCTACTTTTCAAATTTCTCGTACCGGCTTTTAGTTCACTTCGTTTGTACAATAGAAAACGAAATCGAAATGGTCGTGATATCTAAACATGGTTTTTTCTTCATAAAATGGTATTTTAAAATTACATTGGTAATTTAATCACTCGTAAAAGGCATAGCCAACTTCCGCGTTGGCTATGGAATGTTGAATATTATTCACCATATCTTGATGTCCGATTGGGCATATTCCTGGTCGGACGTTTGGACAATCGCGTAGGACATGTCTGGAATATGCGGGCGAAATAGTATCCATTGTCTCAACTCTCAACTTAATTGGAGATTTGTCTTCGTCTCCACTCATCTAGAGTTTTATCTCAGTCTCCACTCATCTAGAGAATTATCTCTCTCAACTGTTTTATCAACACCCATTTCAATAATCATCTTGCTCTTCATATGTTGTGAGATTTATTTTATTATCCTCACAGTTAGCCATTTAGAGCGTTATCTTATTATCTATTTATTTTACCTCTGTTCAGCAAGAACTTTATCCTAGGCTCCTTTTTTATATCTAGAACCGAATGAGCCCCCCCCCCCCTGTTAGGTTTAATTAATATAGGGCCTTAGTCCCATTATCGAAAACATATTTTAGAATGAATCATAACGCATAGAAATCGGGTGGAGTGGAAGCATTGGTTTGTTGTTGTTGTAAAATGTATGCTGTATTGGATGGGATGATTCTTTATCAGATCACATGTCACTTGATAGACAAATTAAACTCAATTTTGAATGTATTTTTGTTAGATATGAAACTAGGGGTGTGTTCGATAGTAGTCGCCAATATAACTGTGGATATGGGTATACAAGATTGTAACAATGATTTTTATTTCATAGATAGTTTAAAATGTTGCTATAACGGATTGGGTTATCAGTGTTTGCTATTGTATACTCTTAAAAAAAACTAGGGGATATTCAGAACGATACAAAACTGCGGAAATGCACTGGTGTATTTTTTAGAGGTAACCAGTGTATGTTAATAACAGGCCAATTGCCTACACATGAACATAAACAGTGCATATGAGCGACTTATCTGGCGGCCCCATTTCACTCACAAAGAGATACCCCGTCAAAACTGAAAATGGACGTTTTTGATTTTTGTCTTAATAATGAGTAATTACTCCACAAATCCTCAGACATTCAGCAATTCGTCGCTGCATGCTTCACATCAACCGTCCATTCACGATTTGGGGCAATCTGACCCACTCCTCTTCCAGTGTCACGACCAATTCTTGGAGTGTTGTCGGTCCACACACTAAAGCAAAGATACGCCAAACAGTAAATCTTATGCAAGAGCCAATATGAATGCTACCATGGATAGATAAACCAGCACGCGGCAGTTTTCATCAACCCTTCCTCGAAGTGTCAAATTTGACAATGAACCCCTCCCACGTGTATGGCGCTATTGCGTGTCGCATGTCGCATGTGCAGCTCAATGGTTCTGTTGGGGCTATAAGTTCTTCGTCTGTGAACATACTCTCAAACCATGTCAATTGTCCATGACTATTTATCATATCACAACCTGCATAGGTATTTGCATTTCAATATCCCCTACTTTTTTGAAGAGTATATATAATGTTATAAAGGTCTATATGTAGCAGTTTTTGTTTAAGCAATTTCCTTTTTCACGCTCCTTTAATTTCCTATCCTCGAATAGTCTCATACAAATTTGTAAGTAATTAGTTGTTTTGTTTTGTAAATAATTTTAACCCAGTAATTATAACCTTGGAAAGTGGGGAGTTCCTCACTAATTATCACTAAAAAGGTAGTTTTATTGTATGTATATAAATAAATTTATTCCTTAACTGTATCTTACATTATGCTTGATGACTACAAGTGAATCAATGTTGAAACCTTGGATCATGCTAAACAAGCTCATAATTGTATTTATATATATGAATATATGAATATTTTTTAAAAATAGAAATAAATACAAATTAACTTCATAAAGAATTCATCACCATTAACAATTTAGAACAAATTTTACCCAACAGCAACAAAAACGTCAGTACGATTTCAAAATCAGAGAGGTACTTTGATCAAAAAATTCTAGATAACGACTTACTAAATGGATCAAAGCAATTTTTGTGAACATTATGCTGACACATTAGTGATTAATTCATCACATTTCCAAGACATTACGAGAAGGTTTAGAGTCTGTACACAGTCTGTACATCAGTACCTGGTGTGTCCACAGGGAGTGTCAATAGCAGCAGCACTGCGTCTGTACATGGAGTGGACCAGACGATTGATGAACGCCATTGGCACCTGGAACCACACTCTCAGAAAAGCCTGGCGCAATCCATCGGCTGTATTTTGTCTCGGTACGACGTTATTAAGTCTCCTCTCAATTTTATCCGAAAGATGTTCTATCGGATTTAAGTCCGGACTAAGGGCTGGCCAGTGCATAACGTTGTCACCGTTCTGCTGTAGAACGTCCCGAGTAACTCTTTCGGTGTAGGCACGGGCGTGGTCATGCTGGACAACGTTGTTTCGATGACGTGGGAAATGTGGTATGACGTGGGGTCTAAGAGCTTCATCGATGTAGCGCACTTGTGTGATGCCGCTTCCTCTCTCTGCCGATTCCACCCCAAACCATTATGCTTGGACCTATCCATAAGAATAACGCCATCTGCAGTTGATCCGCAATACCGACTCTCATCTGTGAATAGAACAGTTCTCCATTGCCCGTGTCGCCAGTTCTGGTGTTGTTGGGCAAACTGTAGACGTTAACATCGATGGCGAGGGGTGAGGTTCGGTCCACGGTATGTCTACGGCAATGGATGTTCTCTCTGGTGAGACGTCTGCGCACTGTATCGGTACCGATGGGTCTCCCGTGTGTTCCCACTGTCTGACGTGCTGTCTCAGATGCCTGTGTGAAGGGATTCTTCACGTGCTGTCGTACAACATGGCGGTTTTGTCGCCTTGTGGTAACCCTTGGTTTACCAGTTCGGGAGCGATCATCCGTGGTGTTGGTGGCCCGAAAGCGTTGCTGAAGCCTGTAGATGGTCCGAACATTGACCTGGAAGTGATTGGCAACGGCTTGGTCAGTGTGGCCAACGTCGAATCTTCCAAGCGCCTGGTTCCTCTGAACTGTTGTGAGTCGTTGTATGCTGCTCACGTTGTAGTGTGAACAGCACGTGCAGCATGAGTTACATGAAAATCATGGAGAACACATTACCGTCTCAGAAGTCAGATTGCGTTTTTGACAATATTTCCTGGGTTCAATTCTGTGTTTGGGAAAGAGCCTTATTGCTCAGGTAAAGTTGGCAAGTTTTATGCAATGCGTCTATTCAGAGTAACATACCAACCTGACGGTTCTTTTGCTGCTTAGTATATTTCAAATCATTCAGTTGTTTATGGTCGTTACTTTTATTTTTTTAGATTGTTCGGACTTCATGAGTAACTGTTTGAATGGTGGAACATGTTTAAGAAGAGAGGGTAGATATATGTGTAATTGTCCGGTCGTATATTCAGGTCCCCGATGTGAAATACGTAAGTATAGAATAAATTAATAACACCTGGCTGGACAATCTAGATTGACTTACCCGGTAAAGTTCAAGGACACTTGTCTATGATCTACATTGTGGATTAGGATTTTCCAATCCCAGTTTCACTGAAATTTTATACGCCCACAATTTAGTGTGGGTGTATTATGTTGACACCCAATTGCTCCTTCAACAATTGGCTTGTAAATGTGATAGTGGTTACTGTTCTTAATGCATTTATTTCAAATTGGGTAGAAAGCGTCGCAGTCATTAGAAAACCACGTTTATATTAAGTGTTCCGCAACCTTCGATTGTATCCTCTTTACCAAATACTGAAATTTTATACGCCCACAATTTAGTGTGGGTGTATTATGTGGACACCCAATTGGTCCGTCAACAATTGGCTTGTGAATGTGATAGTGGCTACTGCTCTTGATGCATTTATTTCAAATTAGGTAGAAAGCGTCGGAGTCATTAGAAGACCACGTTGATATTAAGTGTTCCGCAACCTTCCATTCCACAGTTATGTCCCTTTTTCGGAAAACCTACAGTTTTTGACAGATTTAAACCTATTTCAAATTCGATGGGAACACTGGGGTAATGATAGGAAAAACCCTATCGATGTTTAGATTTCCGCAACCTTCAGTCCACATTTATTCCCTCCTCCTCCACCCCACCCCCACCCTTTTGACTGAAAACCTTGTCAAGACAATACAGATTAGATTTGTGATTGATATCCAAGTGTTCCTTTCAGATAAGTTATTGTCTATGGCTATCATTTTCTCAATACATAGCTGCTTCATTGCTATCTTTTAATTATTATTTGTTAGTACAGTACTCACATCTTATCACAAGTCTCCGACTAGGTCTAGACATTTACAGTCTGATTTGTACCCGAAATATACTATTCAAAAAAAGTAGGGGATATTTGATTTTTAAGTGTTATTAAAGTCACCTAATGAAACTGACGAAGAAACAAATGACAAAATGAAATGAAGTTCACATTCATCGATTTATTCCAAATGATCGTTAGACTAAGTAAGGCACAGACTGACCATTATAAGGGTAAAATGATACCCGGGGTCAAACAGCAAAGTTACCACAGCATCACAACCAAGTCAGTAACGGGTAAATCGTCCCCTGTTTGCCAAACAAGCATTGATCCGACGTGGCATACTCCTAATGAGACGTCTAAGGTCATTTTGGTCCAGATTGTCCCATTCCTGTTGCAACGCAGCAGCAAGTTCTTGGACATTGGTAGGACGTTGTTGACGTTGACGTAACCTCTGTCCAAGCATGTCCCAGACATGCTCGATGGGGGAGAGGTCGGGACTCAGTGCTGGCCAAGGTAATGTGGTGATGTTCTGTTGTTGGAGGTAACCTGTAACGATCCTGGCCCTGTGACATCTTGCGTTGTCATCCTGGAAGATGAAACGGCGGCCATGACGTCGTGTGAACGGTACAACATGGACTGCCAAGATGTTGTCCCGGTAGTACTGGCCTGTAACACGCCCTGCAACAACATGTAAAGCCGTTCTTCCAGCAACAGTGATGCCTCCCCACACCATAACAGAACCACCCCCAAATCGATCATGTCTGATGACGTTAACGTCTTGGAAGCGCTCGTTTCGACGACGCCACACCCTCCTACGTCTGTCCAAAAAATCAACAGTGAACCTTGACTCATCTGAAAACATCACATTGCTCCAGCGTCGATTATCCCAGTGTTGACGATCCCTACACCAACGACGTCTTGCCTGAATGTGATGATCTCTCAAACAAGGGATCACGCGAGGACGTCGGGCGCGAAGGTGACCCCTATGCAGTCGATTCCGAATCGTCTGGCCACTCACTCTCACACCAGTGTCTGTTTGAAGACGAGCGCTGATCTGATTTGCTGTGATGACACGATTTCTCAAGGCCAAGGTACGGATAAATCGATCCTGGGCTTGAGTTGTCGCTCTTGGTCGACCTGAGCGTGGTCTGTCCTGTACAGATTGTGTATCACGGTATCTGGACCATAGCCTGCTTATGACAGACTGAGAAACATTCATCGTCCGCGCCACAACCGCCTGTGTTGTGCCGATCTGTAGCATGCCAAGGGCACGTAACCTTTCATTTTGGGTAAGCCGACGCATATCAAAATTTGTTTTCTGGTCACTAAAACAATTAAACTGATGTTTCCACCCTGGAATTCAATGCCACAATGACTGTAACATTCAAAGTCAGAGTCGTGCAAATCTTGGGTTGGACCCCAATGATGATCCCAAGCATCACCTGCATTCCATGCGGTAGCTATTGGTGCGTTTGGGCGTCACATGTAACTGGAAATGTTTCTTCTGTTAGGTTCTATAGTGACTTTTTTCGTAGTCATTTGCATATTTTAGTATTATGCCCCCAAAATCAAATATCCCCTACTTTTTTTGAATAGTATAATAGAAACTAGACTTGTTAAAGTGACAATTTTGATGTTTTTCATACTAAATTATCATACACGTATACATTAATTACTAATATCTAGTATAGTTATGTGTATTGTTGACCTTGACTTCATAAAATTGAAAAAAAAAATTAAAAAATAAACGTGTGCTAGTAAGGTACAACACCTTTAATGTAGTGTTTAAAAAACGAACCGCATGGGGTTTTTTTGTTGCCAAGTAACTTCAATTATGTTTTGAATTTCTTAGAAAATATGCAATTATCGCTTTAATGTGGGCTTAAATATGCGCGAAAAGTTGTGTTTTTGTTTAATGTCTACGAACTTATAATGAAAACCATTTTCGGCTAATGAATTAAAAACGTTTTTTGTTCTCTAATTAATTAGATAATTAACTGAATAAACCTGCAGTCAAATACAATCGATGGATAAATTGAGCAATGATCTTTATCCAATTAGCACAAGTTGACAGACATACGAGCGTAGCAAATTACAGAAAATCAAGAACAACGAAACAACCATTATGAAAAGGCGCTCACTTGTCAGACAAAATCATGCAACACACATGCGTACCAGTGAATTCTACTCACAGCCCGTGAAATGAAATGAAATATTGTTGAACTTGCTACTCTTCTCCTCCACCCAGGCTAATCGGGGCTAATGAAGACGGGCATACGCCATGCTGTGTGCTATGAGGGGAATTTATCCCGGACAGCGGCGATACGGCCTACTTTTATTTTAAATTCAAACTGCCAGGGGTTCTTTTCTGCGCACGCCAATGTGTACACGGGACCTCGATTTTTTTGTCCCATCTGAATGACTGGACACTGTTCCTTGTCATGTCCTCCATCCTGCACCAGGAACTGTCTCGGCCAACACCAGGAGCGAACCCGAGACCTCCTTGTTAGCTAGGCTAAACCTTACTCACTGAGCAAAAACGGCTACCAATAAAATGTAAAGTCTGTAAGACAAAGAAAGGAAAGAAAAACTGATTAAAATCATATTCACTTACAGTTTATGAGATCTAAGTAGAGAAAAATCAGAAAAAGATTATATTCTGAACCCGGTGGAAACTAGTTTAAAACAAAGGCTCTAGAATTCTTAACGACACCTTTGTTTAAGAAGAAGACAATCATTTACTTTTAAATAGCCCCACTGGAAATCATTAGATTCAGTGGTATTAAATTATGACGTCATGTAGACAAAAGACCCGTCATATTAATTTGAAGACAAACTTTTACTTACTAAAATGACTTATGTTCAATCTAAAAGCACTAAACCCATATTTTGGTAAGCATTTAAACTAGCGTCCCATATTAAAAGAGCTGTCCCATACTCTCACATAATTTTTCCACCACCTTTCGAAAAAAGCAGGGGACTATTAAAATGTGTCCGTCCGTCCGCCCGTCCGTCAGTAACACTTTTTGGAACACAATAACTCTCCTAATTGAGCTGGAGTCATGGTGGCTAAGTGGGTAAGACGCTGGCTCGCTAATCTGGAGGCCGGGTGTTCGATCCATTGGCCGTGAAAGTTCATCCCGATTTCCCGCTTGTCAGTGATGCAGAACGGAGGGCCTGACAAGGATAGCCGTCTAGTCGTTCGGGTGGGACGAAAAACCGAGGACCTGTGTACACATTGGCGTGCACTTAAAAGATCCCTTGAGAGTTGTAATTCGATATAAGAGTAGGCCGTAGTGCCGCTGTCCCGGCAAAATTTTCCTCATAGTACACTGTATATCGTATGCCCGTCTTCATTAGCCCAGTTCGGAGCAGAACAGTAGGACGTTAAAATCCATTTCATTTCATTCCTAATTGAGCTAGAATGTTCAAACTTGGTATAGGTGTTTTTTTTAAGGTGAATGCCTTGATAGAGTATAATAAAAGCATGCAATACCCAGGGTTTGTACCATCTAGGGGTCACAATTTTATTCGATTTAGATGAAACTTAAAATGAGTATTACTAGTTCTTGTGTGAGTTAAATTATCGTGCGTATCGGCCCCTGACATGTCCTCGAAACAGATTTGATAGTTTTTATACAACCAAACCACACACTTCTACATTAATTTCAATATCTAGTGGATTAATGTGTATTGTTGTGCTGGTTTCTTTATGAGAATCTTAAAGAAAGAAAGAGTTATTAAAATCTGTTAAAAAGTCGCTATCGTATATAGAAAACCCCATGTTTACAGACCAATTGTGAAAAATCTTTCAGAATAAGCACCAAATGGTTTAATTATTCGTTTACCATCAACATTCCACCTGATTTCAAAGTTTGACACTTTTTATACGCCCAATTTGTTTGTGGACACTCTACAGGTTACAATTCTTATCTCGGTTCCTTTCGATATTGGCATGTATCGGATCGAAACTTCATGGATTATGGCCAGTGATTGCGTTTTTAGCTTGTGGTCCCTCTAGAGGTCACAATTATTATCCGATTTCAAAAACCGTTCGAATATATCACCGTTACTCTGTAATGACGATTGAGTTCGAATTTCGTGAAAGTCGGACCAAAACTGCCGGACAAAATGGCCGCCGCTCGTACGCAAGTAGTGTAAATATATGGTAT